CGGATTGTGTTGTCCCACCCCACCTGCAGTATGCAAATTTAACAGCCATCTCTGTTGGGTTAATTTGCATACTCTTCTGATTGGCTGATGGGCATAGCGAAGGTACGGTCAGTTAGCATCTTTGTCTTTTATTAGTGTAGATGTTGATATATTGAGTGCTTGGTTTGTACCAGATACTATTCTAAGGGTTCTAAATGTATTAACTTATTTAATCCTCAAAACAAACTTATGGAGTACATGCTGTTGTTGTCCCCATTTTACATATGAGGAAGCTGAGGCACAGATTGGTTAAGTAACTTGGCCGAGCTCACTGAGCTGTTTAACAGAAAAGCTGAGATTCAAACCTTTGTAGTTTGAATCTGGAGTTAGTGTGCATCACCACTATGCTGTGTCTATATCCCTCTAGTGCTGATTATCACTAAAAGCTGCCATCATCACTGTCACTATCTTCATCATCAGATTTTCCTTATGTAACCCAAAAGGGGTTCTGGCCCTTTGAGGGTCTGACTAGGGTGGACCCACTGTGTGAGTTCTTGACCTCATGCAGGAAAAAATTCACAACACAAGTCCAGGTGAATTTTAGAGGACATTTATTAATCTGGGGACAGGGAAAATAATAAAGGGCTGGGAAATGAGCCTAGGGTTGTCTGCTTTGGCTTACTAATAAGTCAGAGAAAAGGGGGACTTGGGGTCAAGTTCAGGGGGTTTGCCTCAGAATGAACTGCCGTTGCCCATTGCTGCCCTGGATGCAAGTCTCATGGGGACCCTTAGAGTTTAGGAGATGTGTGCCTGTGGGAGAAGAAGGGAGGGAAGAAGAGGGGAAAGGGAATGGCATGGGCTGCTCCCCAGGGGGAGAGGGGGAGTGCTGGGTCCTTTGGGGGCTTTTATCTCTTTCTTGAAGGCAGGAATCTTAGGGGAGGTCTCAGCAGAATACTCATCAATTTTCTAGGTGTGCTCCTTCAGGGTTATGGTCTCCACTGATTGGTCAGTGTCAGGGCAGGGTCCTTAGTCATTGCAGCTGGTCCTGGTGTCACCTACCTGGTTTTGCTGCTTTTCTGGGCCTGGAGTTCAAATACAACTGAGCCCTAGATGTTATCTCTAGGGAGATGACCTTCTGTGTCTGCTATAAATTGCTATGCCAGTTTGTTCAGTTTCCCTATTCCACTTGTTCTGACTTACTAGCCTGTCTCACAGCTTATAGCAAAGTACTCTATGCATCATAAAGAAACTTAAACCTGTGTATAGTTAGACCTCCTGTCCCCTACCCCCTTCTTCCTGTGTATTAGCCTATTCCAGCTTTCCCTTCCTTCCCAACATAATGGTCAATCGTAGTCCATCATTTTTACTATGCTTCTACCTTATCATATATTGTAGTGCCTGGCTCCACTGTCCTAGCAAAATCCAAGCTCTTGATAAATCCCAAATATCCACCTGTTTTTATACCTGTGTTGCTTAGTGCAGTATGCCTGGGGAAAGTTAACCAAACCTTTCTGACTATTGACACTATTAATTTACCTTTCTCAAACTCAGTACAGCCCTCTGAATTGAACACAGATAACTCTGATATCTTTATATTATAGACATTTCATAAGGATGCACTTTCACACAATGACTCCAAATTAAAACCAGGCTTACCTATGAGCTCAAGTATTTAATGTATCCCTGAACCCCCCTAGATAAGTAAGGGTTTAGGTTTTCTGCCCAAGGCTTTCCTTTTATATCTAGAATAGAAGCCAGTCACAGTTGTCAGACCTCTAGCAATTATTAAGCAAGGCATTCAGAATCTACACTTTTCCTTTCACATGGAAACATGAGTTCTGCCACTGGTTTTAAGAGGTAGGTGCTCACTGATGGCAAAAGTCAGGAACTATTATTCACTAAAGAGTTGTTCTATGCCTGAGCATACATATCATTTAAGATTCTTCCATTTTCATATAGCAAATAACTGAACTAAAACTAAATAAGAAAATTTATGATTCAGATATTGGATGTACTGAAGCTTAGATGGGTGTTTGATTCAGCTAAGGACTCGGTTTTTTTCCCATCTTCTTCTACCATTCACAGTATCAGCTTCCATTTGAAGGCTGGAAGCTTGATGGCTGCAATGATTCTAGGAGTCAAGCAACTTCCTAAGAAAAGAAGACAATTTTTCCTGATTGCCTTTTCTTATGAGTGAGGACACTTTATTTTGTCCTTCTGCAGTCTTCTCCTAATGTCTCATTGAGCAGAGTTGGGGTTAAGTCATCACCCTTCCTAAACCAGAGAGCACCAAGGGAATGGATTACCCCTACACAATGCAGATTCAACCCTGGAACTGCGATCAGCCCCCTTGAGACACATGACTACAAGGAGAAGGGCGGCATACTTATGCAAAAATGACGTTCTTTTAGTAAGGGGTTGGTTATGGTAGGCAAAACAGTGTATTACAAAGCATTGAGGTTATAGTAATAAAGAGCACAGGGCAATGTCTTAGCAATTAAGACCACTAAAAGCCACCGTGGAGTAATCATCTACTCTTCCCTACTTACCCCATAATATGACTAGATGACATTTTAAAAAGGAACTAGACAGACCTGATACATGCAGGTATTTCAGAATATCAGATGGTTTCTCATTTTTCAGATCTGAAGTTCAGCTGAAAAGAATAGGACAAAAGCTGTTCACTGGCCTTTAGCTACAGGGTTAAAATCCATAGGCCAGCTTTCTAATGTCAGTTGCCATGTAAATAGTTTGGAAGTCACTGCTTTTGTACTGAAAACCAGAAAAATAAAAAAGCTGAACAAACTGAGAATCAATGACTTATCTTAGACCCATAAGGAAACATGTCACAGGGCAAATGACCACCCCGAATTCTGGAGAAAAGACAAATCTGGGGAGTCATAACCTATCTGTCCTTACATAGAGCACAAACAGCTAGAGACATAAACAGGGCAGAAGACTTAAAGAGTAAATTTGACAAATTGCTGGAGACTGAGTGTGGAATAGTATGAGAGTGAGAAACCCAACCTGCAGTCTTAGAGGTTTCATGGGCTTTAAATCCAGGAACTCTAGCAGGTTCTTACAGTGAAGATCCCAGAAAGATCTTATGGCTCTGGCAGTGGGAGGGGAAGTGTGCTCCTGTGAAATAACCCAGAGCCTTCTCCATGACAAAGACCTACTCTGCAGTGGAAATACTTTCCCAGAGTGTTATCTCTGTTAAAGGAAAGGCATTCCTCTTAACCACCCACTCTAATCTTCCATTTTCATGTAAGAGGGAGAAAGAAGCTAGGAAATATTTGTGAAGGACACAGCCTAGGGACCCAGGCCCACAAAGGACTAGAATTTAATTGTAAGATTATAGAACATTTCACACATTTTTACCATGTCACAAGTGTCCAGTATTATAGGAGTGGACTACAGCTAAAGGAGCTATAATGTGCATAGATTCTGCAAGGAGTAATTAGGGAAGCCCAAAGATAAGACAAAAATAAGGACACTAGAGGAATCTGAACACAGGCACCTACAGCTACAGCAAACATTAGGCACAGCTCAACTGCTAACCAGCCTAACATAAAACTTCTTGCTAAGGGTCTATTCACCCAATTTCAGACTGTGTAATTATCAGGGAATTAAAAATATGTATGGCTCCCCCCCCCCCTCTCACAGCCCACAGTCCCCACAGCCCCTCCTCTCCCATCGCGTCTGGAAGGATGGCTGGTGGGAGGGAGGAGGGGGAGGTGGGCAGACAGAGCTGTCTGGGGATGCACAGACCAACGGCGCTTTGTATCCTTCCGCTGCTG